CTAGATCTAGTGTCTTTCATTTCTGGAACTGTTATCACCTTAACACAATGAAGAAATAACAAGGACAATAATTAATTGGATGGTTTTAACATTTAAATCACAATAAATGTTTGCAGTTTCTGTAGACTCAACAAGTGTGTCAATAATGATATTCCATTGTTCATTTATGTATCAAGTTGCATTTACTGTGTGATCATGTAATTATACAAGTACAAGCACTGTTACTCTATTAAGTATAATTTGCAAAAATTGAAATATGGAATGCAAAATGCTTTTTGATTCTTTTTTTCCTTCAAATTATAGTTATAAAAAAAAAATTAGTAAATTAACATATTCTAAAAACCAGAAAAATTATCACTTAACAGGCAAACATTTTCATTATCTTTTCAATAAAGTTTGACAGGTGACAATTTTGCTGGTCTTATGAGTTGGTATTTTAATTAACCAGCATTTAGCAGTTGTCTAATTAGTAAATTGTCTTTACATATTACAAGTACTTTATACAGTACATTAGAGTTTGTATGTTGCATACTTATGATTAGATCACCTGTAATCAGTCAAACATTGTATAAAAAAAAAAATTTAAAGATACTGTGTACAGGTTCTAAATATAATTTCTAATTCAATGAATTGATTTATTGTGATGTATGACAGGTGAATAGAATTACTCCCTTTTTTTAAATCAAATTTAATATTTCTGAATTGATTATTCAGTGTTTTTATTAAAATAAATGCTCTGATAGAGTACTTTATATTGTTGAATGATTCAACTGAGAATTTTTTTTATAAATATGAAACTTCTGCCATATGCTACACTATTTAGAGATTTAAGATAACACTTCTGAAAGTAAATTAGTTAATTCAGAACAAAATTTCTAAAATGTTTAATCTTCAATTTCTCTAAAATTTGTGTGTGTCATTTTTAGTCAAATATTGTTTCAGTGACAAAAAGATTATTTGCATTTTTCACAGGATGCTTGCCCTCTGGTGTTTAAAAACAAAACTATTTTATCTGGGTGGTTTGATTCATTCTTGTGTATTATCAGCAGTAAAGACGAATGGCAATAGAAAAAGCAAAGCTTTCTGTTGCATTCCAAATTGCAATTTCAAAGTCTTATGGGAGCATAATATAAGTTTTCGTCTATTCCCACATGAAAAACAGATGATTATTCGGAAATCAGTCGGTTATATTTCTCTTCGGTTATAGAGCTCTGAATTCTGAAACAGTGGATTAAACTGCTAAGAATTGGCAGTTTCCCGATTGTCCAGCTTTATATGAACAAGTTATGCTGTCAATTTTAAAACATATTTTCTTAAAGTTAAAATACCAGTAATTTTGTATGGGACACAAGGTCAATTTAAGCATTTCGAAGCCCTAAGCTGAACTCTAAGGCCCCTTACTAACCCTTCACGATTTTATAAGTCAATCATGAAAAGAATTAAATCAGACTGATTTAATATGGATATTGGAAGAAAAAGAATGAGGTTTCAGTAGTCTGTTTTATAACTGAATTTAATCAAATTTTTGTACCCATTCCATTAAATTTTTTTTTTAAATTGGTTTGATCAATTTTTAAAAAGATCTTATGTTATCTACAACATACAACTACATGTGTTAAAAAATTGTACTCCTAGAAAATGTTTGTGGTGAACTTTTTTCATCACACCATAAATAGGTTCTAGGAGTACGATCTTATGTTAATTCTTAGAAAAAATTACTTCTTATTTTGTGTAGTATTTCATTAATAATAATTAATAAGTGTGTAGTATATTTTGTTGGTTTGTAAAAAAATGTTTACTACAAAATTTGACTTCAATTTTCTTTTTTGTACAAATGTTTGAGGCCCCTTGAATGTTGAGGCCCTAAGCAACAACTTACATAGCTTTTTACTTCTAAATCCAGTCCTGATAGGACAGTGTGAAAGCTGATGTTTTTTAACACGGCACAAATATGATAAAGAACGATCGCACTCATTTGTTTTGATACCACATAATGATGTGTCCCGCTAGCAATAATTGTTCTCTTTCTATAAAATTTCTCAATAAACAGCTACAAGCAGCATATATCATTATATCGGACAGTAATATATGATTAATTTTACATTACTAATTATAAGCAACCCAGATAAAGTAGCCATTTTTTAAAAATGCAGTCCCCTCTATAGTTCATGAAAAATGTGAATTGCTGTATCAAGCAAAAAATTGGCATAAAGCCAACCCATTAAATAAATTTTACCTCAAAAATGCCTAATTAACATCCTGCTGTGCCAGTAGGAAAGCTGTTCGTGGGACAAAATGAACCAAAGTAGGCAAAATTTTGACTAAAACATGGATAATACAGCCATTTTTTCAGCCTTAAAAGGAGTTACCTTGTTAACTGGTCTATGCATCAAGTAGGCAATGCAGGAAAGATGTGGGTAAATATGGAGTAATTTTATGGACTGAGATCAAGTTTTGTAGGAACACTGAAATAATCATAATACAAATACTCTACTGCTAACTCTCATTTTGAACCAAATCATTGGCAATAGTCTGTGTGGGATTTGGAAAGAAAAGGTCCTATGATGGGTTTTTCTATAGGGAAACTCCTGCAGAACAGATATGCAATGATACTATTCAACACTGAATGTTTCTTGATGACATTCCTCTGTCAGAACAGTGCCATCTGGTTCCAACATGACAGTGCGTCCCACTGATATGTAGGAACTAGGTGGCACTCTGTGGGGCACTCACATTGTCACTGATTTCAACAGTAGTGTGCATCCTCAAATTTTTTGTGCAACTTGTGTATCAACTGTGGAGATTTGTTCCCTGACTACCCTGAGCCTAATTGCAATGAAACTTTTTCTGTGAAGGTACCTAGATGATGTTACTCATGTGAAAAGTATCAAGTTAAGGAGAAAATAGTATGAACAGTTTTCATCTGTCATTCAATGCTAGCTAATGGCAGAAGAGATTAGGTGCATGCAAGCATATATTGCAGATGAGGATGAACCTATTGAATGTGTCCTTTAGGCGATGTTCCCAACTTATTTTAATTGTGAAACTTCTTTCAAGTTTCAAAACTCTCAAAGTGAGTTTTGAAACTTAAGTTTTTACTACAGTAGAGCGTCGTTTATCTGAATCAATTGGGGACTGGGGTTGTTCGGATAACCAATTATGTACGNATTTATTTTCATAATATTGTTTTTTTTTTCTTTTTTTTAAATATTTGTTACAGACGGCTAGATGGCCGAGCAATTAAGGTGACTGCTCTGGGGAATCCGAGATCGAATCCGAACGGGCCAATAAACATGAATTTTTGGGGGTGATCTGCTTTGGATATATCGGATCCCGTCCCTCACCATCTGATCGCCCCATTGTGGGCCTGGCCTAACCCGTAATGGACTTGCTCTACAGGCTCTCTTAGTGCTCAATAGGAAAAAAGAATTAAAAAAAGAAAATAAATATTTGTTACAAATTATAGAACTTTCTTTCGGAGTCCAAAGAGATCTTTCATCCTATCTCTTTATTGAGAAATTGCGTAGCGGGGAACTTTTCCTTGTGTGGTCCGTCCTGAATATGTCAGGCCCCGTTTCTCACCACCCGGTAACCGAACCCACGGTTTGTTAATAGAAAGGCCCTTTTGGTAATCACAGAATGGAAAGAGTAAAATATCCAAATATAAATATTCTTTACATTTTGCTTCTTCGCCAATTACAATTACGGTAGTATGTTTCCATTTGGAAAATACACAATAATGTTTTGTTAAATTAACATTAAAAAACATTTTATTTAATAAATTTTTCCAGTTTACTGTACAATTAGAATCTTAATCCCATTAAGAAACGACTTAGATATAAATATGACTGCCATTATTTAATCACTACTGGTTTAAAATAGATAAATAAAGCTGCACTAAAGCTACAACATCCAGTTTCATTTGATTTTTGAATGTACATTTATAGTTTCTACGTCACATTCTTTTCTAGTGTCTTCCTCGCGTGAACAAACTATACAAGAGAATTTGAGCATTAAGTTTTTAAATGTCAGCCATTACGTATTTATTTCGATCAGACGCAAAGTAAAGCTAACTGAAAAGGGCCTAATTTAACACTTTCTGATTTTAATTTATAAACGATCCTAAGGCTTTCAACATCTTCTCGCAAAGCATTGTCTTCTTAATTGAATAATGGTGGCGCTAACAATATGTAATAGAGATAACACGTATTGTACGTGTTATACCATCATGTTTTATATTTTATTTTCTATTATTTTACTGTTTTAAGGATATATTAACGGAGATGTTCTTTTCTTTATATAGAAACTAAAAATAAATAAATAAACGTCGCTCGGTCTTGTAAAAAAGCAATTCATGTAGAAAATACATTACGTTTGGAACTTTTAAACAAACACGATAAAATGTAATAAAATATTTTTTATTTTTTAAAATAATTTTTCCTTTATTTTACTCTCGACAGAATGGTAATTTTCGAAATTATTATTAGGATATAGAATCGACGTCTATTGATATAATGGTTGGACCATTACGTCATACTCGATTAACTCACTAGACGTTTCGCACCCGATGCGGTATTACTCTTCCAAAAATCGAGTTCCAAATTAATACTTTTTAGAAATAAACGGAATTAGTTTAGGTCGTCACTAATATTACGGAATCACTAGAAAATTATCCATTTTGTAATATTTTGTTTTAATTATATATTATCAATACACTAATTAACGCTTAAATAATTTAAAATAATAATTTAAAAGCAAATTAAACGCTGTTTAATTATTAATACATTTTACATTTATAACAGAAATAATAAGAGTAAAAATATTTTTTAAAACGACAATTTAAAATCTTAAAAATAATAATAATATTTCATTTTAAATTAACACGTAAATTTAACGCGTGTAAATATTTTTTATATTTATTTAACACGCGCATGAGTAAAAAATTAAACAACTTTTAGCCAAATTTAAATAAAAGTAACAGGCGATAAAAACCGGCGGATGAATACCGCCTTCCCACACTCTTAATCAGACGACAGATCGTCACAGCCGGCGTTTACTCGCAGGGAGGTTCGCTGTTTGCGTGTACGTTTAATCGTTAATTTAGTCCGATATCATGTCTTGGCAAGCTTACGTCGACAATCAGATTTGTGCACAAGTATCCTGCAGATTAGCAGTAATTGCCGGTTTACAAGATGGTGCCATTTGGGCTAAATTCGAAAAAGATATACCCAAACCGGTGAGTCAGATTTTAAGCCTAACCTCGTTACTCGCTTAAATCGTGTTAACCGTTCTCCCCTATCCGCTCCTGTCCCCCGATTATTTAATTTATTCGCGAATAATCGCTTGTAAGAGAGTATATTCTGTTATATTTATCTTTTAATTTCGTTCGTGTACGCCCTTTTACAGAACCGGTCAAAGTTTCTATTTGGCTTGAGGGTAGAACCGTAGATAAGTCGTCCAAAATTCTAAAAATCCAAGTAAATTAAATTATTAACGATTCTCTAACTGTTAAAGTAAATGTAAATCGATGTCTTCCTTTCTGTATTAAATTTTAAGGTTATCGGAGTATAAAAATCGCTACAGGTAATCTTTGTTATAAAAAACCTGTATATCGCGGACAAAATAAAATTTTACACTTAAATCTCGGTTTAAGATTAAAATACGGTAGATTTAAGTGATCATATGAGGTTTGTATTGTTATATTTAACAATTTAAAATAAAATGTTTGTTTCCTGCATGTAGATGCAAACTGCTCTTCCCAAAAGTACTTTTTTTAAAGGTAAACTTAAACACAAGTCTACATTTTTAAGTGTTTTGAACAAATCATCATTTTTCTTTCTACTGAGATGATTTTATACTACACACTAAATAGTCTTTAAGTACTTGTTTGTTGAACAATATTAAAAACTTTAAAGAAGCATTGTATCTTGAATGTATTGAGTATAGAATTGTCCGTGGTAAACTGCAAAACTAATTTTTAGAAAATGAGATTTGCAAATTGGACCGACCTTTAATTGCCTACTGAAAATCTGCTATGTTATGTAACTTATTCAAATTTTATATCTGAAAAACTGCAAAATTTAGAGTTAGCAGCAAATGGTTATGACCACGATATACTTGTCACTTGTTTGGCTGAAATTGTTTATTCATTATAAGTTTAGAAATAGTTCATTTCAAAATGTTACATTGAAAGGGCTCTGAATAAAATCAATTTTTCCTTTGTTTCAAATCAGATATGGAATTCATTTTCTGAATGACTTGCATTCTGTGAAGAAAATCAATTACAAACTGTTATATAAAGGTCCAGTTTCTGGTAGGAGTTTAAAAAAAAATTCTGATTTTAATGTGTAGTAATAATAGCAGTATCTTAAATGAATTGATTTATAATATACTGAAACATCAGACTTATAAAATATCTACAATGGAGTTATGGAATATCAGTAGAGAGAAATGATTTTACAAAATACATCATCAATGTGACTAAATATTCTTAAAAATTTTATATAGTATTAATACTATTTTATTAATATGAAAGTTAAGTTTTGTATTTTGTTTTTAAGGTATATAATGCTCATTTAAATGTGCATTCTTACAGTAACGAATTCTACTTGGTTAATAGTTAAGTAAATGTACAGTACACGATTATACATAATAAAATTTTAAATTTCATATTGTAATTATAGTAAATTATTTTTGTTCTTTTTTTAAAGCTTGGAAAACTATTTGCAGATCATAATTTGCCCTGGGAAGGTTTATAAAGTAATTGAATGTTATAGAAAAATAAACTTGGATTTTAATTATTATATAAAAACCTTAGTATTATAAAATTGCCTGATCTGCATTTTTTTTAAAGTAATGTTTGTACAATTGATAGTATAATTTCTAATTTAATTGGTAGTAATTAAGTTGCATATAAAATTATATTTCTAGAATAAAGGTTTCAAGTTTGAAACTTAGAAATAATGACTATTATATAATTCAGTTATAACAACCTTACTTTCCAATTAAATATGGTCAATACATTTTGTCATTAGGTAAGACCTGTTTTAACAAATTTTGATAGTCATGAGTTGTCTTTATGAAACTAAACTTGTTCAATTAGTATTAACTTGAAGTTTTATATGTTGTCAATGTTTGAATTTAACAAAAAATTGAAGTTAAGGTATATAATGCTCATTTGTGCTAAACTGGGGGGGAAAATGGACAATCACAATTTTTAAACAAAATTACTTGTTTGATATAAGAAAAATGTTTGAATGTTATCTGGATTAATCAAAGCAGAACTTTTAAGTTTTTATTCAAAAAATTAAATTCTTTTACTAATGACCCTCCAGCACATTAAAGAATTTTGAATGAAACTAGTATTTGCTAAATTCCTGAGGTCAAGTTGTTCAACTGGTAACATACTTGATAAAGTTGTCATTCCATAACTCAACATTGTGATAGTGGTAGGTGCTTGAATAAGTTCTTAATGTTTACTTATGTTAGATGACAAACTCCCCAAGTTCTGATTCATGTTGCTTATTGTAATTATAATTTTTTAAATGTTTGTAAAGATATAATTTATTTACTACTATTGAATTGATAGAATCTTATCAATGGTGTAAGCTATTGTTGAAATGCAACATTAAAGAGTCATAACTGAGTCATTTCTTCTGTAAACAGGTCTTGTCTTGTGACCATTTATAACCAAGAAATAAATGTTTTCTTCAAATACTTATTTTTGTCAGTTCATTTAGCTGTTAAGATTCACTCACCTAAACATCAAATTGCAACAAAAGGAATTGATGTGCTGCAGAAAATAGGACTTGTTCAAACAATTACCATAATCAGATTATCTAATCTAAATTATTAAGTTAGCAACTAAAAAGTGGAATAAATTTTTTATTTTATATTACTTAGCACAATTTTTAGTGTATGCACATCATGTTTGATCTAATAACATGATTTTTTTTGTTATTAATGGTTAATATTTACTAGGTAATTTAAAATGTTTGGGGATAATTTACATGTTTTAATAGTAGAAAAATTTAATATCAATAATCATAAATGTTGGTAGTTATAAGATGTAAGCAATGTTAGAAAGATAAGGGGGAAAACTGTGCTCTTAGAAAGTATAGCTTTGTTTGCCATGTGTTCAGGAAATTTTAAATGATTCGTATAAGTTATCAGTCAGTTAATTTTACAGTAGTTTGATTTAAATATTCAGTTAAAGAAACAAAATCTAGTGTTTTTAATGCTGGATGGAAAAGATGCTTTAGCAAAATTGTCTCATATCCTGAATCAACTAAATTCTCCTTCAAATTTTTCTTTGGTTATTTCTATTACAGAAATTGCAAGTTTAAAAAAAATTTAAAATAGTACTAAGGTTAAACACGTTGGTAAGACTTGTTATTTTTTCCTTTTTGTTTTTAATAACATGCTACTGTAGATGAGACAAAAATCTTTCAAACAAATTTATATGGTAATTGGAAAATTACTTGCCAAATTCAGATTCAAAATGAAGGTTATCAATCTTATGAGTTTAAAAGTGATGTAACAATATCATTTTACTGCCCCAAAAAGTCGAATGACTGCTCACTACCATGCATTCAACAATGAGATAGCACAAGAGAAAAAAACTCGGTTTCATAATAATCAATGTAGACCTGGACCAAATAGTTTCCACATACATAATGACCAGACGTTGGCCATTAGTAACTTTTAACTAACAGATATTAGTATATTGAACACACATTTATAAAAGTATTAACTCTTGATTAACAAAACATTTCCATAAAAGAATTTCCTAGTGGAGCTAGAAATTCTTTTATAGAATCAGCAAAAGCAGTTATAAAAAGAAACACGAGACAAGTATGAGAATATTAAGAAAAACTATGCTGGATTTATTCATCTTAGAAAGGAGACCTGAACAGAACATAACTGTTCATTTTTATGAACAGAACATAAGTGTTTTTATGTTCTGTTCATAAAAATGTAACCCATGTTTAGTAATGTGCAATAAATGTACAAAGTTGTAAAATACCTGTTTAATTTTAAATTCAGATTAAATTGTTTTTAGGTTAAGGTTTTGTTTCTTCTATTAAGTAACAACATTTTATACAGTTGCACATTTTGTTCCTTGTAAATAATAGCTAATACAAAATAATAATCAGCATAAGTATAAACACTCAAAAGCTGGAACTGTTGATTAAAAACACTTCCCCTCACACTTCAGTATAAATTTGCAATGGACTATTCTGGTATTTAGCATAGACATCTTTATGCTACTCTAAGGATTAAAATTAATACTGATCTAACAAGAACAAATTAGGATAAACTGGAATGTTAGCATGTGAAAAGGTACTACAAGAATTTAACTTGTTTTTAATTTGAATGGAAAAGCCTGAAATAATTTGCATATGATACTTGAAAAGTTTCTAAAATCTGATATGTATTAATAAGAGAACAGTATTCTAACAAAGTTTTAAATATAAACTTCTATTTCAATCAATAAATAATAGGTTTGTATAGCTTTGTAACATTTTAGTTATTCAGTAAATCAAATTGATATAAGAGTATGGATATATTTTCAGTAATAATCTTTATCAGACATTCTGTTACATTATAATATAATTTATTGAGATGTGAAGTGTGGATAAAGTACACTTCATGTGTCTTTCAATACATTTTTTAGCTAATATTTGTTAGTGGAATATTTTTAATATTGTGTGGGATAAATCATCTTTTGTCCCAAATAAAATTAGTAAATGTCAATCATGGGAAACTGCATAGTGTTAACAAAGGAGGCAGTTCATCATGGATGATGATACTGTTGATATGCTCACCCAGCATTGTATCATACCAAGATCTATAACAGATAGCCAAACAAATTTTCACATTAACAGTCAAGAAGTCAGAGACATTAAAAATGTTACTTTATTTCTTGTTTGTAAACTTTGTCTTTTTCTAACTGTTCAAATGCAGACGACTTTAACAAATGAGCTTATTCAGCCAATTGCAGAAATGAGGTTTAAGCCACAGCCATTATTAAATCCTTGTCCTTAAAATTGTTTCAGAAGATTTACTTGCATATCAAACTGGTAATAAAAGCTACAGGTAGACTGCTAGAGGCAAGCCAAAATCATGGCATAAATACCTGAATGTGACAATATAGCCAAAGAAATTTTTTCATTTAGTTTTGCACATTTTGGATGTTTGTGACTGATTAAATCAAGAGAACAAAAAAAAAATGTA